AACTGGGACTCGGATACTCTGCTTTTCTGACTGCAAACCCAGAAAAAAAGGTAGTTTTCCCAAGTATATCCTGTCTTTCTAAGCATCCCTGAGCAGGGAAGGGACTTGCAGCCCCGGGTGCTGCCCACCTTTGTACTGCAGGATGTCCTCGGTGTAGGCCAGCATGCTGGGGAAGGTGCTGCTGAGGAACAGCCCCAGGCTCGCCGTGCCCACGAAGAGGAAGACGACGCTGGAGGAGAAGATCAGGAGCAGGAGGAAGGTCACGAGGACTCCCACCTGTGCGAAACAGAAGCGGAGGTAAAATGCTGACTGCGAGAGACTCAAGATTGAGGTTTTTATTTAAAAACAAAAATTACTTTGGAAAAGAAAATAAGCTATACTGAGAAAGTGATCACAGTGTCTGAAAAAACGAAATAACTAGCTTAATCTAAACCTATCTACCTCAACAATATAGGATTTGGTCCTCTTTCTAACAAAACTTTATATAATTAGTATGTCTCACTTTGACTAGCTAGACACTTAAGATGATCAGAAAAAAGTATTTTTCAGCTTTTAAATAAACAAATACTGCCACTTCTGTAATATTCAGCTGTCTCAATCACAAATAACTTATTCAACTGGCTAAGGAACCTACTCACAGTAGCCATTCAAAACCGTAAAACAAATGAGGAGCAAAGCTGAAGAACCAACGTTTAAACAAACTTGCTCTGCCTCTGGTTCACTTCAGCACAAGTAATGGCAAAAACAAGATTAACTGTTAGCAATGGCGCAGAGTGGCAGCAGAGGGAGCTCATGCCGTCTGCAACACCCATACACATTATTTCTCTTAATTGTTTAGCCTCATTATGGATGTGGGCAGTTGCACATAGAGCAGTTTGGATCCAGGATTCTCTCCCCTTTCTGCAAGTAGAAGATTAATGAATTTAAGGAGTGCAACATCACATTATTTCTTACATACTAAGCAGAGAACATACTGAGCAATCATCTGCCCTTTCTTGGGACTACATGGGCATAAATTTCCCTGCAACAGCTACCCTGGGCATTGTAGCAGAGTAGCTAGATGCAAAGCCAGACAGTAGCTTGGAGACCAGGAGAAGGACACGACAAAAAAAAAAGCCTCACCACGTTGATGAAGACCATGGTTGCTGGCTTCATCCGGTAGGACACGGGGATGGAGATGAGCCTCCCCAGCGTGATGAACCCCCAGAAGAGGCTGGGCAGGTACCCGGCCACCTTATGTACGACGGAGAGCGGCTCTTCCACGGCGTAGCTGTAAATGAAGCCCGAGTACTCGCCCTGCAGGGAGAGCGGCGCAGCAGGTCACGGCGCTTTGCAGACCTCCTGCTTTGCACCTTTCCCTTCCCCCTGTCCTCTGTGCAGGATTGCTGGAGAGCCCACCTGGGGACTTGCAGCCTCACCCGAACGAGCCCTATTCCCAAAAATTCCCAAGAAATTGCAGCTGGAGACAAGCTCCCACCAGAAGCGGAACACAGGATGCAAGCACTCCGAAACGGCAGGACTAACAGCAGCATTGGGCAAAATGAATGCAAAGTGCTTAGCTTTAAAAGGGAAAAATCGTTTTTCCCATGCAAAGGCCTGCCTTGGAGGGAAGGAAGCTCCACAGCTTGGCTCAGCTGAGCTCCCCGCCCAGCTGAACTCACCACAATCCCATCCGTCATGAAGAGAACAAGCGCCCCGGTGATGTGCACCGCGAAGTAGGTGCACGAAGCCCCTCGGAAGTTTTTGCTTTGGCAGCAGCTGAACAAGTCGTCGTGACCTGGTGACAAACAGCGCAGAGCAAACGCAGCTGGACGTGGCCCTGCGGCCGGAGCGCGCCAGGAGCAACCGTGAGCAATGTGGCCACCTGCTAGCGCCGTGTCTGCTCCACTACCTACCCGAGAGGGCAGGGGGGTTGCACAGGGGCTGCTGCCCCGCGCTGGGAGCTCCCTGCTTTTCTTATGGGTCTTGTTTGAGCAGCTCGTGCCCTTTAGGAGCTCCGTGCTGCTGGCCCTGCCCTTACAGGGCTCTTAGAGGAGCAAAACCTTATTAGACACGAGGGATCCCATGCTGCTGGTGCCCTTGTGAAGCCTCCGCAGCCCCTCACCACCTCCATAGGTAAACTGGGCTTAGATTTATCCAATAAATCAGCTTTTTGCAGAATCCTCGTGACTTTTAAACGCAACAGAGAAGCCAAAATCTTGACCAAAAGCCGGGAGGAAATTAAAGGCACAGCTTTCACACAGGCTTAAGGGACATAGGAGCCAAGGTTATTTTGGAGTGACCCAGTCTGGGATCCCAGTGCCTGGATCCTAACCCATGTTCTTGGGTCAAATTCAAGGGTAACTAGGCCCAAAAATACTTGGGGTTGGGCACCCCTGCGTTACATTCACTTGTGCAGTGGGGATGGTCCCCCCTAGCCAAGAGGGGATGGATTTCACGTCTTAAACTCCACGGAGAAGCTCCGAATGCCGCTTTTTCCCCCCCTGGCTCCTTCCAACAGCCGGTTCTTGCGGCTCCCACCTACCCCTCCCCGCCGGGGGGC